AGGGGTTTTTTTTTTTTCTCAAAGCACTGGGGGGGGGGGGCCCACAGGGTGCAAAATTGTTTGGCCACAGTTAAGATGCTCCCATGAAGCTGAGTTTTCAGGATCTTCTCTTCTTCCTCAAAATTTACATAGCTTCTTTAAACTAGCATACTAAACTATGGGCTAGGTGCTTCCTACCTGCAAGTTTGCTGGGAGAGAGACCTGGTATTTGTGAGCACTGCCAGAAGAATACAAGTTGAAGCTTAACCTTCCCTCACTTACAAGATGACCTTCTCAAAAAGAGCAATTTACTTTTATATCATCCATTTTTTATATCTGTTACTTGCATGCCCTCTTTCTCCATCCATGGATGAAGCAGCACTAAAGCTTTGTTGCATTTGCTTTCAGGTTGTGCATAGGCGATCTTTAGAACAATGACTGGCATAACATTCCCAAGCAGTAGCCCACCCTTCCTCCCCTTTGAAACTGTTCCAAGTATACATTTGTCCATACTTCATATGATGTAATCATAATCTCTAGTCTACTTTAGGTGCCACTCTATGGTCTTTGAGACTAAAAATAACACAATCCAACTAAAAATCTATATATGCTCTAGTAAAAGTTCTAAGCACTGTCACTATGTTATAGGACAGTAGTTTGCACTATCTCTGTAGAATGTTAAAGTTCAGCCAGTGAATTTTTTAAGCATTCCCCTTGCTCACGTAGTCTGCTTTCCTTTTCAACCCATTTTATATAAAGAGAATCTGAAAACCAGTATAGTAAAAAATGGAAGTGTGTGCATTCATCCTATTTGATGATACTAGTCTTAGTGTTGGCCAGTTGAACAAACTACTTCCTGTCATTACTGCAGTGGCAGGACATAGACAGTACCCTCATACCCCTGCTTTACCTGTAGCGAGTCCAAAGGTGTTTTTGATTTTGGGCATTATGCTTGGTAATTTTGCATGAGTAAGGGCCCACTCAATGATTTTGTGGAAATCACAAAAAAATCTGGCATAGTCCATGAAATTTGCAAAACAAAACCCTTCCTAAAAATAAAATGCCACACAGCCTGCTAGTGATGGGGGAGTCACCACTGGGAAGGGTAGCAGCCAAGATGGCAGCTGCCCCCTGCCACTGTTTGGGTCAAAAGGACTGCCCATCATGCAGCCCCATCCCTCTCTGCCAATCAGCAGTGAGAGACAGGGCCACATGATGGACATCCCTTGACCAATCAGTGGTGAGGGGCATGGCCACTAGGGCCACTCAGAGGCATGAGGGGTGTAGCAGAATACCATCTCTGTCTTTCCCCAAACTCTGCTATATGACAGTTTGGTTACCATGGTCAGTGCAGGTCCCATCTGCTTCAGGTAACTCTGAGGTGTAACCTGAGCTGGATACATTCCTGAGGGAGAGGGGGGAAACCTGCTCTCTCTGCCTATGTGACTGGCATGACATACCCGGGTGAGGGGCTTAAGCTTCCTATTGTTCTAGGCAATGCCAACCTGACTGGAAGGGGCTAATAACCCTGCCAGTCTACCCGGCAACCAGTGATGTATTTCAAATTGGTTGGCTGGCATCCAACAGTTGCTGGCCTTCATTGGACCAGGTAAATGAAGTCATAAGGGCTATATAAGTGAAGGTCTGCCCAGGAGGAGGGGCAGTAGTCATAACGAAAACTCACAGAGAGAAGCTAGACCATCTGAGACTTGCTCTCTCTCTCTTGAAACTCGTGATCAATGAACTGCTTGCCTCCACCTGCTTCTGATGATACTCATGAGTAAGCTACCTAAGATCTAACTAGGTATATATCTTGCAGTAACATGGATGCATACTCAAAGGCTACCATGCCACTTTGCTGTAAGGGATTTCTCTGATATTGCTCTGCCCCGTACCCTATTCCAAACCTACTCCTTGTAACCAATAAAGTTCTCCTTTGACCTAGTACAGGAGACTTAGTGGGAGTTAGTCTAACTTATGCCTTGGGTTCCCCTTGTTTCAGCTGATTAAGGAATACCACTATTTGTGCTTCAGACTGAGGGAAGCACCCCAGGTTCCTGAGTACCCTCAAGGGCTAATAATCCTGTTTCCCAGAGGTCATAGGTCCATAAATCAGTCAAGACTCTGGGTGGTGGCAGTGATACCCCCAGGCTAGCAGTTGTGCTCCAGGAAGGGGGTCAGCCAGCTATGAGGTGCCCCCAGGAAGGCACCTAGGAGCCTGGAAGGTGGTCAGGCAAAGTGAGGTGGGTGGCTCAATGCAAGAGCACCCCCTACTGGCCCCATCACGGGGGGGGGGGGGACCACTGCAACCAGCCAATGAAAGTGGTGACCAGCCCCGCAATCAACCTGCGAAATCAGCTGCCTGCCACCTCAATTTCAGTAGGTCCCCATACATGAGGGCTTTCTGCAAAGTTTTTTTTACAATCAGTTATTTAAATATCTGTCTAGGATGGTTTATGGATAATCCTACCTTAAGCAGGGGTAGAATTAGATGATCTCCTGAGGTCCTTTCCAGCCTACTTTTCTATGAATCTTTGTCTATGGAATGGGCTGCACATTACTAGAGAATTCAGTAGCCTTGAATACATTGTATTGCTGATCTGTCATCACAACATAAATAGCCTCTGTAGCCACTATCATAATTTTTTTTTCAGCCACCTGCTGAGATTCTAAAACTGATGCTCTGTAGCACTATTTATGGTTGTTTTCATTTTTGCTCCTGTGACCCAGTGTGATTAGGAAGAGAGTCACCAGTCACAAGGTTCAAAACACTAACATTCAAAATGCCTCTCAATTTAAAATTTGATCCTAATGTAACCTTTCTCCTTCTAATTTAAAAGCATTGCATTTTGCATGTGCATGAGAATGAGGAATTAGGTTTATTTTTCAAAAACAAGCATATTTAAGTCACAGGCAAAGATTCTTGCTGGCGACAGCTTTTTGTTCAACCAGCTCCATGGTTGGGACAAGCTTAGACAAGCTTTCAGATTGAAGGTATTCTGCTTTAGGTACATTAATATTAAATATCATAATCCAAATGTAAGCATCCTAATCAACAAGAAGGCTGAAGAAACCATTTTGTTTTTTTTAACTGAATGTGGTGAATTCTCAGCACTTTTGCAAATATAGCTACCTAGAAGCACTAAAGTTAAACTCCTTTTTTCTCCCAACTCCTGGCTTTAGAAAGGCTGTAAGTTGATTAAAAGCCTTAAAATGTGAGCTCCTTTTTTTTAGGATATGTTCTGCCTTATGCGCCGCTGCTTTTGGCCTTCTGTCTTATACAAAAGAGCTGAAAGTAATAGGATTATTCATCCTCAAGACCTATGGTTGGGCACAGAAACACAACATATGTTCCTATGTACCACTGGGCTACACCCTGTACATGAGAGCTTCAACACCCTAAAGAGTGTTTTTAAAAAGTCCTTGCAAATGACCATCACGTAGTTTAGTTGAGCTTTGCACAAATTCAAGCCTAAAGATGTGCAAGTCATAACAGCATATGTGAGTAATGCTAATAGCCTCCAAAAGACTTGGTCTTTCTGGTCCTGGGAGCTGGGCTAAGTCAATTGCAGATGTTTGCCCCTCATACTTTTGCAGACCACATCAAGAGGATGCATTAGTCTCATGAGCTCAGTACAGATCCTAATCCATTCTTCCCAGTTATGCTATCTTTAGTACAGTAAATATTGATATGTCTATTTTCCACTCAGCTAAAATGGAATTTGTCTCTCAGATATATACACCAAGCAGTATATTAGCTAGTAATTGATACAAATACTTTTACCTTAATTATATGAAATGAAGGAGTTATTACTAGTTCACTGCTGCATCATGCCAGGAATGCAGTACTGCTTGAGATAACAGTGAAGGACAAAACCATGTTTTGAAATGGGAAAGGGCTACAATTTAATGTCATCAAACATACAATTCTTATGAATGCCAAACAATTAATATGCACATTTGGTATAGTGTGCATATAACTATTGGTTGAATACACCAAATTATAAACAATAAATAAAAATACTAGAACACACCCCATGAGCAGTGAAAGAGCTATTAAAACAATTTATTTTTAAATTAATTGGCTATGAGGTGGGAATAAAATATTAGTAGTTTTAGGAGTTCTACTTCTTTACTACTAACAATTTTCCATTTTCTATTTCAAATGTTAGAAATAAAATGTTAACCCAACAAGCAGTATATACCTAATATTTCTTGAATCATTTTGCTTCTATATGGTAACTCTTTCACCCAATTTGTTTTCCTGTTTATAGGTAATGCATATTGTATTTATATTCTATGTTATACTTAAGCTGTATATGGTTACACCTCATGCTGAAATCACTTGCCAACTATTTAATTCCTTACAAATACCCAATTCATTCTACAGTACTTTTATTGGCTTTCTCACTACTAATGGAGTGTGTCCTACCATTTTTTCTATAATTCCTGGAAGCCATTTTTTAACCTAAGGTTGTTCATCTAATAGCAAGCTGGAGGGTAGGTCTAGGATTCAGTGACCTGGACAAATTGGAGGATCTGGCCAAAAGAAATCTCATAGGGTTCAATAAGGCCAAGTGCAAATTCCTGCATTTAGGATGGAACAATCCCATGCACTGGAAGTAATTATCTCTATTTTTCACTGGAGAGGCCACATCTGGAGTACTATATCCAGTATCAGGCACCCCACTATAAAAAGATGAAGAAAAGTTGGAGGGAGTCCAGCAGAGGACAATGAAAATGATGAGGGGGCTAAGGCATGTGATTTATGAAGAGAGGCTGAGAGAACTGGGCTTATTTAGCCTGTAGAAGAGAAGACTGAGGGGGTATTTGATGGCAGCCTTCAATTACCTGCAAGGGGGTTCAAAAGAGGATGGAGCTAGACTGCCCTTAGTGGTGCCAAATGATAGAACAAGGCACAATGATCTCAAGTTGCAGCATGGGAAGTTTAGTTTGGATATTGGGACAAAAACTCTCTCTTTATGAGTGGTGAAACACTGGAATGGGTTACTTAAGGAGGTGGTGCAAATTCCATCCTGGGAGCTTTTAAGGCCCAAGCTCAATAAAGCCCTGGTTAGGATGATCTAATTGGGGATGGTCCAGCTTTGAGTAGGGCAGTGGTCACCAACTGGTTGATCGTGATTAGGGAGCCTCTGCCAGTCAATCTCAGTCAGCAGCCCCAGACTGAGATCAATTGTCAAAGGCTCTGTGATCAGGAATGGCCATACCCCCTGCCACTGGGGGAGTGGGGCCCTGGCTAGGAGGATCAAAGCCTGGGCGGCTTGTCCAGGTGTGCAGGGGGCTCCCACCACTGCACAGA